ACTCCACCAGCCGCTGGGCACTGACCTGAGCTGAGCCCCAGCGAGGGTACAACTGCACAGAAAAGGAGCAAAAAGCATTAATGCAGCACCAAGAAACTGAGACCAGTCTTTGCCTCATAACCCTGTACGGGGAAAGGCTTTGGGATTCCAAGGCAAACCCTGAGACACCCGGAGAGCACCAGCCCCGCAGCCCTGCCACGGTTCCCCCCGGGGGCACCCGGCAGGTAACGGGCTTACCCGGCCCCCGCCGCCCAGCACAACGCGCCCCTAAACGCCCCCCAGCTCCCCCGGTCCATAAACCCAGCGGCCAAGGCGCTCTCCCCTCCGCAGCCCGGGCAGCAGCGGGGCCGCACCCTCAGCCCTCACACACAACCGCCCGCACCTCCCCTGCCGGCCTTTATAGACCGCGGGCCGGCAGCGCTGCCCAATCAGCACTCGAGCGCCTCCGCCCAATCGCAGCCCGCCGGTCCCTGTGGCCCCGCCCCGCCCGCTCAGCCCGGCCCCGCCCCTCGGGGCGGCCCCGCCCCCCGTTCCCTCAGCGCGGCCCCGCCCTGCAAACAACCCGGAACAGGAAAATGGTGTTTGCTGCTGGAAAAGAATTGTCTATGAACATAAATTTTGGACCAGTGATGAAGCTATTGAAAGAGCGGAATAGTTTAGAGAAACTGAGCGGTACTTTTGTTACACGCACTGATCAAAACCAATAAACGCCAAAATGGACTTTATTGAGCTGCAACACAAGGATGGTCTCAGGAGGCAAAGGCGAGAGGTGCACACAGGAGCACCAAAGCTGCACCTGGGGGTTGGGTTGGAGGAATTGATATTATTCGTCAATATATTTTAAAATAACAAACTTTAAAGGTTTTAGTATTTTACAGAGACACACAATCCCTCTCTATGAATTTTTAGGCAATTTTGGCCATTTTGGTCCCCTCTCTTTCTGGGGGAACCCACCAAACCCCCTTGCTTCTCGACTCATTTCCTCCACCGCAACACCACCCTCCCAGTGACACCGGAGTACCCCAAATGACATTATCAGAGATGATGACACAGAGCCCCCTCACCCTGCACACGTGTCCCCAGGGATGGGACGTGGCCGGGACATCCTCACTGCGACGTCCCCAGGGCGCCGGTGCCGACATCATCACAGTCCATGTGCCCCGGGGGCTGTCCCGGGGGGTCCCCTTTGGCTCTGGGGGGACTTGGAGGGGGGCAGCTCCCACCTTGGGGACAGCAAAGGCAGGTGCCTCAGGGGGGCAGCTCCATGTCCCCCCTCCAGACCCCACCTGGGGTGTTTCTGTGTTACTGCAGCCCCCGTGGATCTGGTGCTGGATCCCAGCTCACCTCCACAGCCAAACCCCCCATGGAGTGGCTCTGCAGGGGGGACAGGGCAGCTGTGGTCTCTCTTACCTGTGGGTGGGAGACAGATCCAGCCCCTCCATGCCACCCCCTCGGAGATGTCCCCAGTGCTGAGAGCGGGGGACTCCTCTGGCACGGCCGTGGCATCATCGTAGCCATCCAGGGTTCCAACCATGGCATCGTCATAGCCATCCGGGGTTCCTGCTGTGGCATCATCGTAGCCATCTGAGGTTCCGTGCCCAGGCAGGGCAGGGGGGGCTGGGACTGGCACAGGGGTACATGGCACTGACCCAGTGGCCATGGCAGGGACTGGCTGTGCCATCCCCCTTCAGCTGTGCCATCCCCCTCCAGCTGTGCCATCCCCCTCCGGATGTGCCACCAGGGATGTGTTGGTGGTCCTTGGTCCCTCAGGGAAAGGCGATGCTTCTCTGCCACTAACGAGGGGGGACGTGTCCCCTCAGTTCCCCAGCCCTGCCGTGTCCCCTGTCCCCAGCGCTCCCCACTGGGTTCCTGCCCTGTGCCCCTACCTGGGGCTGCCCCGGTGTCACTCCCCTCCACGCTGTCCCCGGTGTAATACAGCAGCTTCTTCACCGAGCCCTCCCGCGGGGAACCTGCAGGGGGAAGACAGAGTGCTGGGGGTGGCCAGAGGTGGCACCGCGGGTGACACAACCTCAGCCACAGAGCAGGGCTGTGATGGCACCCAGGGACCCCCCCACACCACGGGGAGGAGCCAGTGCTGTGCCACCAGGACCCGCTGCCGCGGTGGGACTGTGGGGCAGAGCCCCCCTGTCCGGGCAGAGCTGGGGCCCGGGGGCTGCACCGACCTGGGCGACTGGGCACCTCCTGGTACTCCGGCATCGCGCTGTAGTCCAGCTCCTCGTAGATGGCGTCGGGGACGGCACCCACGGCTCTGCCGGTGCCTGCAACAAGAGGCAGCGCTCTCCCAGGGCCGTGGGCACCGGGGGTGGCACCAGGGTCGCCCACTGCCCACCCTCCGAGCCGTTCCACACGGGGGGAGCCCCTGAACCCCCAAAGCGGCTCTGCCCCGGCACCCACCCGCCGGGACCCACCTCGGCGCCAAGCGCGGGCACGGCACAGCAGCACGGCCAGGGCACCCAGGGCCAGGCACAGCAGCGTCCCCAGGACCACGCACAGGACCACTGACACCGGCACAGTGCCCCTGGCCACCTGCCCGCTTGGCACCGGCACAGTCCCCCTGGCCACCGCAGGGCCGCTGCTGCTGGGGACAGCTGTGGGGACACGGCCAGGCAGTGAGGGCAGGGGGATCCCAGCCGGCCCGGCGGGGGGGAGCTGGCACGGGCAGAGCTACCTGTGCAGGTGGCCCCGTCCGGGCACGGGGTGGTGGCTGTCTCACTGGGGTTGTCACTGTCCTCCGCACAAGCCACGTAGGCGTCCCCTCCGGGGCCGCAGGCCTGCAGGTGCCAGGGTGCCGAGGGGCACCCCCAGAGCGAGCGGGCCCCCTCCTCGCAGCCCACCCAGGCCAGCCAGGCGGGGGCCGGCTGCTGGGCGGGGGCGGGTGCCAGCTGCCCCCCGTCCCCACAGCCCAGCTGCCGGCAGACGGCGGCGGCGGTGCCGGGGCTGGTGCCGGTGGCGCACACGCGGCCCCAGGTGCCGTCGTGGAGCAGCTCCAGGTACCCGCTGCAGCGCCCGCGCCCGCCCGCCAGCCGCAGGGAGAGCTGCTCTGCGAGGGGTGCGGGGGGGTCACGGCACGGCCGGGAACCCCCCGGGGGGCTCTGCTGCTCCCCGCCCCGGGGACACCCGACACTGACCTGAGCACACGGCCCCGGCCCCGCGCTCGCACTCGCGCCCTTCCGAGCGTGGGCATTCCCAGAGAGACTCCTCGCTCCCGGCGCACTCAACCGCGTACGGCCACGCTGTGCCCGGCCCGGGGCCGAAGCGCGCCGAGCCGGGGGCCTCCAGCGCCGCGCCACAGCCCAGCTCCCGGCACACAACGGCGGCGGCCCGCAGGTCCCAGCGCTCCTGGCACACGCTGCTCCAGGTGCCACCGGCATAGACCTCCACGCGCCCGGCGCAGCGCCCGGCAGCGCCCGCCAGCCTCACCCGCCGGCTGCCTGCGGGCACGGAAGGACCGGGCTGGGGGCTGCTCGGGGCACCAGCACCCCGGCCCTTCTCGGGACACCCACCTGAGCAGACGATGACCATCTCCTCAGGGCTGCTGGTTGGTGCAGGGCCCATCCCTGAGACATCAGAGATCTCCTCTGCCACGTCCTCCATCTCCTTGAGGCTCCTGGTCAGCTCAGGGCCCATCCCCGAGATGTCGTACATCTCCTCCGTCACGACATCCGTCTCCTCCGTCACGACATCCACCTCCCTTGTGCTGCTGGTCAGTGCAGTGGGTGCCTTACCCAAGGCTGTGTAGATCTCTTGTGGCAGGCCACAACCCAGCACAGCACACACCATGTAGACATCCCATCTCTTCCACTGCTCCACAGGCACACGGCGCCAGGCTGGGGTGGTTATGGCCTCCTCCAGTCGCCCATCACACCGGCTCTCACCCTCCACCAGCCGCACAGAATTAATGGTGCCTTCAGTGCCTGAAAAATCACCAGTAGTGCCGTGGGGCTGTGGCACCTGGTTCAGCCCTCCCCTCACCCCAAAACAGCCCTGAGTGCTCCACTCCCAATTCTTGGGGTGTCCCAAAAGCCCTTGGAGGCTCTTCCCACGGGTGCCACACACACCTGAGCAGTTGACGGCGGCGGCATTCCCCGGGCTGCAGGGGGGCTCCCCCAGCACAGCCACGGGGCACTCGCCCGGGTGCCGCTCGCTCCCGCTGCAGCCGAAGGCGTCCGGCCTCAGCGGCCCGTCCCCGCTGCCGAAGGAGCCTCCCGGGGGCACGGTGACGGCGTGGCCACAGCCCAGGTGGTGGCACAGGACGTCGGCATCGGGCAGGTCCCAGTCGGTGGCGCAGACGGACCCCCACGTGCCCCTCACCGCCACCTCCACCCGCCCGGCACAGCCCGAGCTGCTGTTCCCCAGCCGGAAGCCCGTGTAGGCTGTGGCACAAAGGGCGTTCAGGGGGGTGATGGGGGCGGACCCCCAACACCCCCCGCTGTCCCCGGTGCTTACGGGAGCAGATGACGGTGGCGTGGCCAGCGCAGCCCTGGCTGTGGGGCCCCCGCCGGGCGCAGGCGCTGAGGAGGGGCTCGGTGCCGCTGCAGTTGAAATCCCCCTCCCACAGCGGCCCCGTTCCCGCCCCAAACCGGCCGCTGCCGGGGATGGCCAGCGCCGCGCCGCAGCCCAGCTCCCGGCACACCACCTGGGCCACCTTCATGTCCACGTGCTCCGCGCAGACGCCAACCCAGGCCTGGCGCTGCCGCACCTCCAACCGCCCGGCACAGGCTCTGTCACCCCCGACCAGCCGGGAAAACCCTGCGGGAGCGGTGCAGAATTGGCACTGAGGGATCTGCCGGGAATGCCACGTCCCTCCCAGCCCGGCTCCTACCTTGGCAGATGACGGCGGTGTCGAACTCATGGGTACCGTTGTAGGGTCCCCAGCCACGGATCTTGCAGTCCAAGAGCGTGGCCTCGTCACCCTTGCAGTCCACTATGGCCAAGTTGATGGGCCCAGCTACAGTGCCAAAGCGGTCGCCGGCGAAGTAGGCGCCGGCAGCAGAGCCACATCCCAGCTGCTGGCACACCACCTCAGCGTCCTCCATGTCCCAGTTGTCATCTCCCACTGAGCCCCAGTGTCCCCACAGCTTCACCTCCACCCTCCCGGCGCAGGGACCACCACCATCCACCAGCCTCAGCTCCACGGCCTCTGCACCGGGACACCGGCACAGCTCAGCCCTGCCTGGCACACCCCAGCACAAGGTGGGTGCCCCGGCACGGCCAGCCTGTCCCACTCACCTGTGCAGATCACCCCCACGTCCCGCTCGTGGCCGCAGTAGTGCTGGCCCCATCCGAAGTGCGGACACTCCTCCAGCACCTCCTCGGTGCCAAGGCAGAAGAAGGGCTGGAGCCAGATCCGGCCACTGCCCTGCCCGAACAGGGCGTACGGGGACAACGAGACCACGCGGCCACAGCCCAGCTGCCGGCACACCACGGTGGCCCAGCGGGCTTCCCAGTCGAAGTCGTAGACGCAGACGGAGCCCCACTCACCGTCGTGATTCACCTCCACGCGTCCGGCACAGCGCCCGCCGCCCCCCACCAGCCGCAGCTGCCCGGAGCCTGCGGCACGGAGGGGCCTGAGCCGGGCCCGGCACCGGCGGGTCCCCGCTCCCACCACCCCGCCACTCACCCCCACACAGCTGCAGGCACAGCAGCAGCCCCAGCGCCCCGACCGGCCCCATCCCCGACAGGTCCCGCACCCCCAGCGCAGCCAGGGGAGGATGTAGCGGCAGCGCCGGAGCCGCTGCAGGCGGCAGCACCAGGGGAGCCTTTATCAGCCGAGGCATCGCCCAGCTGCGGGGCCACGGCCTCCAATAACCTGCTTCGTGCCCAAATATGAGGCTCGGCTCCGCTTCTGGCGTCACACGCCTCGCCACAGTGGGCCGGCACACGGATGTCCCCGGGGGGAGCCGCCCCCCCCCAGCACCTGGGCCGAGGGGGCCCCTCCTGTACCCCCCCGTGGGTCCAACTCTGCCGCTGGAGCCCGGCAAGAGCCATCCCCGCGCTGACAGGATTCAGCCCCAATCCCGCCGGAGCCTCCACGGGACCGCCCCGAGGAGCGGCTCGAGGCAGAGCCCCGGGGCCCCCTCCCCGGGTGCCCCCTCCCCGGGCGGTGGGAGCAGCCCCCGGCTCCCCGCGGGGGCGGCGGGTCCCGGTGCCTCGCGCGGGCGGTGGCACATGGCGGGGCTGCCGCAGCTGTGCCCCCGCGCTCGCCTCGCCGCCGGGGCAGGAAGGAGGCGGTCACCGCCCGCCGGGGACGCGCCCGAGGCACCGACCGCACGCGGCTCCTGCCACCTGCGCCGGCACCGATAACGCCGGCACCGATAACGCCGGCACCGATAACGCCG